TTGTTGATCCTGGCTGTCAGTCTTTCAAATTGTATCTGGGACAGGCAGAACTCAATTTGAGCAAATGATTTATAGCACCTGAACTGCAAGCACGGCAAGTTCGCCAAATATTGCCTCTGTTCTTGTGAAGGGAACTGGAATAGACTGAGTAATAAACTATTCAACATTCATCCTCACATTAAGCCACCCCTTTGATCAGTCTGACAGGATGCTGGAAATGCAGCCTTTAAAGAGGTATCACATATTTCAATGTGGCTGTCTGCTGTAGTTTTGGGACTAACTCTGCCAAAACTCTCTGACAACATATCCATAATTCTTTACTTTCAAAAGAAGCAGTTCTCACAAAAAGGTCTTTGGGATTGTTCGAATCAATTTGCAAAATATCAATTGTTTCTTATTATCCAATTTTGTCATCAACATTTCTGAATGTTACTTTAAGTACTAGACTGTGTAATTCTGTGAGATTGCCCAGAAATACAGGACCTGGTGTGACAGAGTTGCTTTGTTACTCAATCTCTCACTGAGCAGATCATTAGTTAATTAGTCCATTACCAAAAGGGTTGTCACTAAACTTGAGAGGGGAACGTTTTGAACAGTACCTTGGAGACCACAGCTGAGGAAGCAAGTGGCCTGCTTGATAAAATGTGACAGCGATTTGAGGTGATCTAATTAGATGGGATACTAAATTGAAACAAAACAAATTCTGCTGGTGGTTTGGGAAACTGCATTAAAAGATATGACAAACTAACAATGGCAAGCATTTAAAGAAGACAGAGGATTCTGGGTAATCCAACATAGAGGACAAGAACAAAAGTGTAACTACAAGAGCTAGGAGGAACTGCAGATGCTGGAGAATCTGAGATAACAAGGTGTAGAGCTGGATGAACACAGCAGGCCAGACAGCATCAGAGGAGCAACCTACACCTTGTTAACTATAAGAGCTGCTCCTTTTTTGAGCTATTTTCAGTGTTGGAGCAGATTTCCTTGAATTCTAGGAACAGTAATTACTGTTTTATAAGCTGTTATGGGTATATGAATGGTGATGATTTAGAGGGATATGGGCCAAATGCTGGCAAATGGGACTAGATTTATTTAGGATATCTTGTCTGCAATGGATGAGTTGAACTGAAGGGTCTGTTTCGGTGCTGTACATCTCTATGAATCTAAGACTTGAAATAATGCACAATTTGCAGCAAATATACCTACCCTAGAAGGCACAAAAATTCCACATGTTCAAAATGGGTCTAAACAGGAGTTAAATCAAGTGCACATTCAAAAGAAGAGGCTTAAATGTCATCAAGAAAAATAAAAATCCCAAGAATTGAGAGGATTTTAGGTTTCAGTAACGGACAACCAAGTAATTGATGAATAAAGAGAAAGGAAAATGAGAATAAGTTACTAAAGGTCACATGAACAATTAATAGATGTTTTTAGAGCTAGAAGAGATATATCCAGGTACCATATCTCAAAGAATTCTTTGAAAAATGAGGCTATGCATCAAAACATGTGGAAGGGTATGAAGATATGACACTTACAGAAATTGATACCAAATAAATGCCAGAAAAGTAGGACCTATCCATTTCACTGAGTCACAAGTCTTAATTAGAAACAAACTAATCTCACTGGATATGAATGTTATCTTTTAAAAAGTATATGGTGTCATTCCCTTGGTGTTAATTGTAGTTGGAGATTTAAAAAAATAGCAATTCATAAAATCTTTTCTTCCCCCATCTGTTATCTTCCAATTAACCCCATTTCTTTCCTGCTGTTTATTTCATACAGATGTTTTGATCCTGAGCTAACTGTTCTCATTTACAGTTCCTGTTTCAGATTGCATGTGGCTCAGTAGGATTTTCTTCAATTCCTTAGTTAAAGAAATACACAGTTGTTGTCCTGTATTCACCAGATGTAGATTCCATCGAGGGCACCAGACTGATATGAATTGGGTGGGGTGGGGGGGGGGGGGAGAAGTGAGAGGTGGGAGAAAGAGAGAGAAAAGAAGACGGTGTCAAAGACCTACATGGAATGGGCTCCCTATCTAATTTCTTCTGTTTCTGAAAGAAACCTCTAATATCTTGTTCTTCTGTAACAGTGATTGAAAGAACACCTTAATATTGTATTTAAGCATCATAGCACCCAACTTCACAACAGTCTGGGTTTTGTCCTCTTGCCATTAAGAAGAACTCATTGAACAAAGCAGAAAGTCAACCTCTGCACAGAAGTCGGTTTTTCCCCTTTGCCCGAAGAGAGGGCAACAGGGTGCGCACGTGTGCGCGTTTCGGATATATTCAGAGGGATAAGCATTTATACTTTATGTTATTGACTGTGTATGTTAACCAATTATACCATCTTCATTGATGAAGTTATTAAAAACAACTGGTTAATAGATATGCTTGTTTAAAACCTGATATAGATACTTGGCCATCCCAATAACTGCAAAAAGTATTTTTCTTTTACGCTCTTGGATGAGAGCAATTATGCAGTCCTTCAGCCCTGGTCATCACAGGATTAAGGTCTGCAGCAAAGTGGAATGAACGTTGAGCACTGTTTGATCAACACTGGCGACAAAAACTAGACCAATGATCTGATCGCACTGAAGTACAAATCTCATTTTCAATAGTGCAGCAATTGATAACAGAATAGTATAAAAGGAGACAGCCTGTGCCAGCTCTTCAGTAACAGATCCAATTTGTCCCATCCCTCTTTGCCCACAACCATACAAATTCTTCCCCACTCAACTATTTATCCCGATCTCGCTTGAAAGTTATTATGGAATCTGTTCCTCCACTCTTTCAGGCGACACATTCGTAACTGATCATAACTGGATCTGGTTCTGCTGACAAGTACACTAATAAGTATACATTCACTGGCCCTGAATCATTATATCCTACAAAAATACTTATAGTGGAAAAAAAAGCGGTTCTGTGGTTTCAATCTGCATGCCAAGCAGATGCCTGCATGCTGTTGGACTGCCCAGGTTCAGTCATTATGTGTACGGGCTAAAGCAGTTCAGGCCTGTTGGATAGTCATTGTCATAGGTAGAACAAATGTCAAAAGTCAGGAAGATGAGACAAACATGCAGCCTCAACACAATAGTTGAATTATGGCCAGAATGAAGGAGAATATTTTTGCAAATAAATTCTGATCATTTACCTTTGGTGTGTTGTGATGTGGCCCAATACCACATGATGAATACCACGTGATGCATTTTCCACACATACATTAAGAAACCAAGCTAACCCAATTCTGCTTGTTATTACAGGGAGGGCCAGAAATTTAAGACCTTCACCAGCTAATATGAGTGTTTGTCTCAGTCTTAGTAACAACAATAATGATCAGATCACACTGCTGATTATAAAACTTCTGTTCACAAAACTCCTAAGTTTTCAATTTGCAACAATTTCAATTAATACCTACAGCTGAGGAAGGTATTTCAAATCCAAATGAAATGCAATCTTTCAATCTGCATTTGTCCATGAGTTAGGATTAAATTATGATTCTAGGGCCAATTGGAACTTGAACATTTAAGACCACAAGAAATAGGAACAGGACTAGGCTGTACGACCCCTTGAGCCCGTTCCACCATTCATCAGGATCATGCATGATCCTACATTCCTTATGTCTACTTTCCTGTGTTTTCTTTGTAATCCTTGATTCCCCCAGTGATCAAGAATCTCTCTCAGCCTTAAGATACACAGCTCTCTGTGGCAAGGAGTTACAAAAACTCCCTCAACTCTGAGAAGAAATTCTTCCTCACCTCAGACTTACATTGGCACCCTTTATTCTGAGACTGTGCCTTCTGGTCCTAGTCTCTCCCATGAGAAATAACATCCTCTTAGCATTTACCCTTTAAGAATCCTAAATGTTTCAATGATAATACCTCTTACTCTTCTAAACACCAGTGAGTAGAATCCCAACCTGTCTTTAACCTCTGCTCATAAGTCAATCCCTCCATACCAGGGATCATCCTAGCCAACCTTCTCTGAACTGCCTCTAATGAAATGATATCTTTCCTTAAATAAGGGGTCCAAAAACTGCTCACAGTACTCCACACGTGGTCTCACCAGGACCTCGTACATTTAGTTTGAACTTGTAATTGCTCCAGTTTAAACTGTAGCTCTTTTTTAAGACTCATGTCCAAATTAAAACTACATTAAGCAGTCTCTTGTCATAGGAGAAGCAGGGACTTCTGGGATTTAGGTGATTAGACAATGTAAATTAAAACATATACCCCACATAATGCTGATATTAATGAGCTTTAATGGGTAGTGGCTGGGAGACGAATTACTGTATGTTTTTTAATTTATTTCTGCTTCTGACAAGACTGATCAATGAAAGTGTATTACAGTGGATATTAATTCTACTAGAACAACATCTCAGAAGCTCAATTATGTGATTACTTGTCAACATAATTTTATTAATTTACTATTTAGCAGTTAGTTTGGCATTCAACCTAGGGCTGCTCACTTGGCTATGAAGGATATGCAGGATATACCTGCAGATATTGTTTGGAGCAGGGATGAAGACAGGAAGTAGAAACTATACATCATTGCCATTTAGTAGAATTGTTTTCTGTTAGTCTTCTGTAAAGCAACTCAAAGCAACTGTAAGGACTTAATCTGGGCGTCGATTCAGTACTAACAGAGTGCTGCAATGTCAGAAATAAGGCCTTCCATAGTAAAATGAAAGCACATCTGCCATTTCAGATGGATGTCAAAAAAAAACCATTGTGGCACTGTGTGAAGAGCAGAGACGTCCACTCTAGGTTGTTGGCCAAAATTGATCTCACAACCAACATTTATAACAAACTGGTTATCTGGTCATTGAGTGTTTGTGGAATTGTTGTACGCAAATTGGCTGCTGCATTCACAAAACAACAAGAGGTGTAAAATTTCAAAACTACCGCCTTGTCTGTGAAGTGTTTTGGTACATTCTGGGCATTGAAAGGTTATAATTAATGCAATTTGTTGTTGTCTCTTTTTTCTTATTATGAGGAGCAGCAAGAAGAGTGCAGTGGTTCAAGAAAGCCACCATCATCTCCAGGACAATTACAGACATGCACTAAATGTTGGCAAAGACAGAAATACCCACATTCTGTGAATAAATAAAGATAAAAAGAATCTGTTGATCACAGCCTCACTGAGTCACGTGGTTCTGGTTTCAAACCCTTCTTCAAGGCTTCAGCACAAAAACTAAACACTCCAGGTACAGTACTGAGGGAGCACTGCAGTGTGTGAGGTGCCATCTTTTGGATGACACATTGAAAGGCTGTCTGTCTGCTCAGACAGATGTAAAAGATCCCTTGGCACTACTCCAAAGAGCAAGGATACTATCCCAGATGCCCTGTCAATATTTATCCTATCAACACCACAAGAAACTGATAATCTATTCATTATCAGGTTGCTGTTTGTGGAAGCTTGCTGTGTCCAAATTGTGGTGACACATTTGACAAAAAAATCATGATTATGTTTCAACAGTATTTAATTAGTTGTGAAGCACTCAGACATCTGGTAGTTGAAAAAAATGCTAAGTAAACAAACATCTTTCTTTCAGATGACTGTAAATACCTAGTCCAATATGGATAACTTGATAATTATAATGGGATTAGCAGGCCTGAGCTACAACCAGTCATTGGTGCATCCACAATTCTTGAAAACAATTAACACCTTTAAAACCATTTTCCCAGATTTATCATCAGTTTTTGCTCTATCCAAAGACTAGAACCTCTTTTTCACAGGCAGTGATTGTATTTTTTTCACCAAATGGTTTCAGCTAAAAACCCACAATTACCCAGAAATGTAAATGGGAACTAACTGAATTAGAAATGTAGCATATGGCTTGTGTCTGAACTCATCATCTTAACACATCATTTTCAGACATTACGATCTACAGACAGCTGATGAACTTACTTTAATTTCCTAATACCCTGCTTACTAGCACTACTCCAAGGGCCAATCATGTCTGATTAGAAACGACAGCAGTTCAGTGCCAAAACAAGACCCTGGGTTTATCTGCTGCCTGCAAAGTGCTAAGGGTAGAGGATATCACTATTCAGCAAGCAGCGCACGAGCATTGTAAAGAGAAGTTGGGAGATGACAACATAAAACTTTGCTAAAGAGGTACACGTGGAAACAAAAATAGTTTAAAAAAATCCAAATTCACACCTCACACTGGTTACCTTACAACGACTTGGTACCCCCTCTGCTCCCCAACAATAGGAACTTGCTCACTCCCTTAAGTAATACCTCAAAATCATTTAAATACTGGGAGGTCTTCTGACACTTTGAATACTCCAGCACATAGTTCTGCCTTTGGAGAAAAAGGCGGAAAACTGAAACTAAATTTATTGCCATGTGAGGGCTGGGAGCAGCAAAGTACATTTATCATCATTGTGAAATACATCAAATGCCAATGACACAAATGGCATTTTAAAATGGACACTCAAAACACTTCCCAAAATAATTTCAAGGAGATTAAAAGATTTAAAGAATATGCAATAGAGTTCTTACTGCATTTGTGCTATCAATATACTGTACTCCCCCATACTCTAATACCACACCAAATCAAAATGCTTCAGCGAGCATGAAACCACAATAAAGTCCTGCTGATAGCTACTATTGTAGGTATCAACTAAGTACAGGGAGCAGTTAGGGTTGCAAAAGTTAAAATGTGAACACTACCATTGAACAATTTTAACTGTACAGACTCTAACACAAGTTCAGGCAAAGCACATTTATCAAAACCAACACTTCAAACAAATTTGCCAGAGCTTCTCAAACAGCCCAGAAAAACAACAGGCTGGAACAATTTTTTTCATTTTAATAAAAATGCAACAAAACTTAAAAGAACAACTTTCTGCATTGCAATAACTTTTACAATTACAGCTATATTAAAATGCTTCCGTTAACTCAGCAAGCTGAGTTGTGGAGCTTGAAAATTAGTTGGACACCTGGTCCTAGCTGAGCTAGTGAATCACAGGGAGGGGTGATATGGAGATGCCAGCGTTGAACTGGGGTAGACAAAGTCAGAAGTCACACAGCATCAGGTTACAGTCCAACAGATTTATTTGAAATCACAAGCTATCGGAGTATAGCCCCTTCATCAGGTGAGGGGAGCATTACTGTCACATAACTGTCTCAGTGTGATGTAGTGCTTCTGGATCTCTGCCCTGGTGTCACTCCACAACCTGTCACCACATCTGCACATCCCTGGCCCCCACCTCCACCCAGTCCTCTTCCTTCTCTGTAGATCCAAGTATATATTCTGACTGTTCAAACCAGACATCTACAATCATGAACTGTGGACGACTATCTTGCTAACAACCCCTATTGTGAATAACAGCCAAGTAATGCAGCACTGAGAGCAGCCACAGACTCCTCCCTGCAGTGATTCCGTACCTTCAGGTGGTAAGAAGTCAAAAACAATGCATCGATAGGACGTCTGGAGCTTTGAGCCTGCTCCAGCATTGAATAAGATCATGGCTCTGGTCTCACCTCCACATTCCTGTCTGGATCTCTCATTCTTCTAAACTCTAATGGTTACACACTTGTTCAGCCTTGTGTCACATGATAACCCTGCCATCCAAGGAATGAGTCAAGCACAAGATTTCTCTAGTTCACAAGCCTTCTCTCAGTTCTGAGGAAGGGTCACCGGACCTGAACCGTTAAGTCTGTTTTCTCCTTCACAGATGCTGCCAGACCTGCTGAGCTTTACCAGCAACTTTTTTCTGTTACAAGCCTTCTTTAAACTAGTTCTAAAGCAATTAGACCTTTCTTTCAAAAAAAGGAGACCAAAACTGTTCACAGTACTTGAGATGTGATGTGATCTCAGCAGCACCCTGTATAATTGCAGTAAAACCTCCCCATTTTATGTTCTATTCCCCTTGCAATTAACTAAATTCAATTTACCTTCTGAATCATGTGCTGGGAACGACAAATTACTTCATGGAGCAGGACACCCATTTCCCTCTGTACCACCCAGTCTTGGAAACTCTCCATTTAAATGGTGTACTGGTTTTCCATCCTTCCTGCCAAAGTGGTCAAGTTCACATTTACACATGCCATACTCCACTTGCCAAATCTCTGAGCCTGCACTAAATCACATCTCTTTGCAGACTCCCTACCTCCCCTTGACAACATACTTTCTGACCTATCTTGGTATCATCAGCAAACTTACCTTCCATACGCAACTATCCCCCTCATCCAATTCATTGATATAGATAGCAAATAGTTAAGGCCCCAGCACTGATCCAGCTGGCCAACCCAAGAGCAGTAAAAGAACATTTAATCCCTATATCTCTGTTTCTTGTTAGTTATATAATCCTTTATATCCATGCTACCACATTATCATCAACACCATGTGTCTTTACATGCAGCAACCTTTGATGAGGCATCTTATCAAATGCCTTTTGAAAATCTAAGTTGACCACATTGCCCAGCTCCCCTTTATCCACCGTGATCTCACCTTGTCCAAAAACTTCTAACAAATTCATTGAATACGATTTCCCCTTTACAAAGCTAGGTTGGATCTGCCTGATCAACCCATGATTTTCTAAGTACTGTATCCTGCTGTAAGCTCCTTGATAATGAAAATAAAGTGCCCAAACATGAGTGTTTTCAAAAACATGTGAAAGTGAACTACGTGTTTACAAAGTCCCTTCACCCAACCTCTACCCACAAATAGTCAGAAAGTTTAAATAGACTAAATAGTCTGATCATATCCAGGGGTAGTTAGAAAGCCCATTTGAAGAAGCCATTAGCCCTTGTGCCTCGTAGCATTAACTCACAATCGTTTCCATAATGGTAGTTTAATGCTTTCTTGTTCGTACACACTAATGTGGATCGTCATGATTACGTACACGAGGCAAACAATTGAACAAATTGGTCCAGTTTGTGTACCCACAATCTCCCAGTTAATACTTACTACTACCTTCTCAAGGGCAATAAATGCTGGCCAGCCAGTAATGCCCATGACCCATGAGCGAATTAAAATAAAACCTAATAATATGAACCGTCAGTGGTGGGTGGAGTGAGGGAAGGAGTAGGAAGTGTATCAAATACAGGCAAGAAGTTTAATACAAAAACAAATTACTATAAGTACTGAAAATACTAAATTAAAACAGGAAGGCGAGAAATATTCTGAAGGACTGGTAGCATTTGTGGAGAGAAAAACCAAGTTAAATGCCTCAGGTTAATGACCTTACATCAAAGTTAAGAAAATCTCACAGCAGAAACAGTACATATCACTCAATGAAATGGCTAGTTGTATATATGGGCAAACATGCCCAGATTAAAGAGGCATTAAAAAGACTAAGGAATGGGTTCTATTGTGTGGACTCATAGATGAATAAAAAGGAAATCAGTTTTACAACACAAGATTAAATGACAGCATGAGGAGATTTGAAACAACTAAGTGACAGCCATCTGCCCTCTACAAGGCTGTCACAGTTAGCTGTGTTTCAGGTATTTTCTAATCAACCTGTTCAGAGATGTCATTACACACTTCAGGAGCACGTGGGACCTGAACTCCGTTCTCCTGCCTCAGGGTAGCGACACTAGCATACCACCACAAGAGCCCTATTGCCTGTGCTTTTAATTAAATTAAAAATTTTTCTTTTTTTTAGGGGCGGCACGGTGGCTCAGTGGTTAGCACTACTGCCTCACAGCGCCAGGGACCCGGGTTCAATTCCACCCTCGGACGACTGTTTGTGTGGAGTTTGCACTTTCTCCCCGCATCTGCATGGGTTTCCTCCGGGTGCTCCGGTTTCCTCCCACAGTCCAAAGATGTGCAGGGTAGATGGATTGGTCAGGCTAAATTACTTGTAGTGTTCAGGAATGTGTAGATTAGGTGGGTTATAGGGGGATGGGTCAGGGTGGGATGCTCTGAAGCTTGGTGTGGACTTGTTGGGCTGAAGGGCCTGTTTCCACACTATAGGGATTCTATGATCCTAATTAACCTGTTCACAGAAATTATTACACATCTTTGGAGCAGAGGAGACTTGAAACTGAGCCTCTGGCCCAGTGATACGGACTCTAACACTGTGCCTGAAGAACCCTTACTAGCTGTACTTTAGACCAAGTAATTAAATTATAACCACTTGAAAAACATTCGTGAAATAGAAAACTGAAGGTAGACCTCTTTTAA